GCGGTGTCCGTCAAACCTAGTTGTCTTTAGTGAGCTCAACCGACAAGTCGATCGTTGAGGTCACGACTGCTTCGCTTGTGCCAAACTCTTACAGAAGGTGTTCGTGTGAGGTTACCGACTATCGATGTCATGCGTGCTTTGTACAAATAACTATCTGCTATCACTTTTACCTTTCGCGTGTGCATAAACAACAAACAAATTATTGAGTCGCATCAGAAAAGAAGAGAGAGACAGAAGGCCAACAACGGAGACAAACTACTGCGGTTATGTGGTGATGGTGGCGGACGGCCATTCCTCTCAATAACGGCGAGTGCGTACGCGCCAAGCATACACGAGCCGACTTCAGAAACGCTACCACAAGGTCACGGGTACCGGTTCTGCGTGCCCTTTGTGCGGCTGCGTTTTGTCAGCCGCAGCCGAACAGTCCTCAAGAGACCACTGACGAACCACACATCCCGGAATTCAACCCGTACTGCAACTGTCAGCACGCTGGGACGATCATGAGGTCGATATCAAGGAAATATCGTATTGCAATCCGTAAAACGAAGACCGGACAATGCTGGGACCAGCAGTCCAGTAAACACACACGTAAGAAAGGGAGGAGGCACACAGACACTCACACACACCACACTCGTTCGTTCCACCACGGGCAATCGGACTAATCGAGGAGACGTACGACTAACCAGGTGGACTCCTCTGCCCTCGGTATAATTCGGTGTCGGCACGTCAAGGAGCCGGTAAGAGAGACTGAACGATTCAACATGTTGAATCGGCCGTGCGTCGGCCATGAAAAGCCAAATAAGGCGTGTCACGGCCGGCGGTGCGGGACAAACCAAATTGAGTTTGGGCGACAGGGCACGCTTCGTCGTCTAAAGGCCGATTCAACATGTTGAATCGGCCATGCGTCGGGTCGGGCAGTCGGGCCAAATAAATCACTCTGATTGGCTGTTCAGCTAGCGAATCAGTGCATGAGAAGCGAACGGAAGTGAGGGACGTAAACAAACGCTTTAAGGAGGCACGAAGAATGTCTTCCGCATGCAACACTCCAATGGCCGATAGCTCCAGTACCGCACGAGATATGTTTTCGATGGACGAGAATGAAAATGGAACGCACACGCTATTTGTTGTTTGCTTGTATCACGGAGTCTGTTCTTCTTCTCTGTCTTCCAGTTGTTGCCTCTTTTGAATGACGAATACACACTACCGCTGCCTGCTGGTAAGGAGAGTTATTGCCACTCACGCATGCACAGTTCGTACGTGCTACTTGGCCGTCGGCTAAAGTCTTTGCGGTGTGTTCCAGTGCGACTATTGGCCAAGAAGCAGGAGACGTGAGGCGACACAACAGTCGTGTTCCGTCGGGACGTGTTCTTTGGTGTCAGTTTGGTGTGTCAGGGCCCTAACGAAAACGGCCGATTTCGGCCTGGTGTGTCAGGGCCTTTAGATCGGTATTCAAACCAACCCACTCTCTTCAGTCTGCGTACAAATGACACGACTTTACACATTGCAAATGAGTGCAATAGATACGCAGAAGTCCAATTTTGGGTGCATATGATACGCTAACCATTCCCATTGAGATCTGAGGCCGAGTTTTGCGTGCATATGATACTCCCACGTTACGTTTGTTATGAACGTATCTTAAATACGTTTATTTTCTACATATCTTTGCCATTTATTGTCTTGTTTATAATAATGATAATAGTCATTTATAAATATCATTTTAGAGCACACATTTGAATTCGAGAATCGGGATCGATATAATATGGTTAAATTAAAATCAGTAGGCGAGGCTGTAATTTCGCCAGCTGTTACTCTCTTGAGCAAGGCAGAAAATAATAGTTTTAACATGCCAAAACGCTGCTGTGTCGTTTATTGCACCTCAAACATTAAATCAAATCCAGAGTTACGTGTTTATGTACTTCCTCTAAAGGCCCTGACACACCTATCCGATTTTGGGAGTCAGAGGCCGAGGCAGTCGGGCATTCGCGGCGCCCTACTCAGGTTGGTGTATCTCGCACCGTTATTGCTTTACGGCACATTTTCACACCTGGATAACGATCCAGTTTCACCTGCTGGGTTTATTAACCCCAAGATCATCTGGGGCTGTTGGTCTTTGAGCGGTTGCTGGCCCAATAGTACCTGTTGATGTGCTGCAAGGTAGCGTCTGTAGTGGAGGCACCGGCTCGCAGGAGGAGGAGGATGCTGGCGGGTGTGGTACAGGGTGTGGCAACGCAGGTGGTGATGGTAGGGGCACAAGGAGCTGTGCCTCGGAGGACAGCGTTGGTGGTGGCCGCCTTGATGAGTCAAGGCTTGGGCTCGCTAACTCAGCCCCGGGGTTTGCCGAGGTCAAGCTTGTAAAGGCAGGTGCAGGGTCGCCAGCAGCACCATCGGCTGCAGTTCTTTCATCGCTATTTCGTTTTAATAAATCCTTAGACCTTTTAAGCCAATTTCTGATGTCCATTTTGTAATTCAAACAGAAATGTCTACAGAATGCACAATAAACAAAACCAGAATAAGCAGCAGAGTGTGACGCTGTGATTGGTCTAAATGTGGACGAATCACAAATCACAACAGACATGCATTTATTTGACGTAGCCTGCGATTTTTTTTAAAGTTACTATCTGACATCACATACATCGTAGCATAAAAGTTCACCGTTTATTTATAATTTAAAAAATAAAATGTATTTATTTATTTATTTTTATAAATAATAAAAAACGTGTTTATTAGGGGAGGGCAGGAATGTCAATGGGAGGGCCTGGCCATATCGAAAGCACCGATCGATCGGCCGAGAGTGAATATCGGCTGATAGCGATCGGCGGCAGATCGATCGGAGCATCCCTAACAGTGAGCATAATATGTCCACTCTTATGATCCCAAATGTATTAATGACTTGCTAAATAGATTGTAGATCCAGAATAGAGTAAGCTTCCCACACTGCCTTTGCCCTGTTCAGTCAAAGACAGACGGTTGGTTTCAGGTTATTAGCAGCCATTTTGAGTGAGGGCAGGAAGGCCAATCTGACATAATGAATGTTTAATGATGACTTAGTAGTTAGTCTTTTAATTATCATTTGCCTGATCACACATTCCCTGTTACCTTATGGTTCCCACTGGGGTAATAAAACAGGATTTCCCAGGAAGTGCTGTGAGGAGTTAGGAAGGAGAGCTGGAAGGAAAAAAGGAAAGGTGAGGAGGAGAGGAAAGAAAGAGAGAAGAGACGTTTTCTTGTATTGAATTGATGTAATCACAGCTGTGATATTAAAAATAAATGAACACAGCTCCCATCAAAGTATCTTATTAATAAATATATTAAAAAACAAGATCAGATCCTAGAAAAAGTTAGTTTTCTCTCCTGTTGGATTGTGTGAGCAAAGAAACTCCTCTGTTTAAAGAGGAAAACGAAGAGAAACGTGGTATTCTTTTATGTTTATGGACAGTTATGTTGTCTTAGACCAGAGTAGGGACACAAACAAGGATTGTGTTTTAGGAAAGGTTCTCGCAATCTACTTAGGTCTTTATTCGATTCGACATAAAAACCATCAGAGCCTGCATCGCCAAAGAAACACGTCCAACACTGTCGAGAGCAATCACTCCTATGAACTGCCTGCCGTGAGCTGCACGTTGACTTTGAAATAAATTCAAGAAAATAGGATTGCTTCTTGTGACTTGAGGTAACTGGAACAGTATCATCAAA